ATATATCTCAGGTAAGGAACAATAAATAGACAACAGAGTAATACAATTTAAAAATTTATTTTTTAATATTTTTTAACCCGTTCACTGCCAGAGGACGCTTTAAAGCGTCCGCGTTAGCTGCACATGAATACCGCTGGCGCTTTAAAGCGCCCACGAATATCTCTTGGTAAAAGCGTATTAAGAAGGACTTCGGTACTTAGGTGTAGTATGGATAAATAAAAGAGTATATTTCACACTTGGTATTACATTATTTTTGTAGTATTCCATAATATTTGTTTCTGATTTAAGGTCATCTCTGGAATCATTAAAAAAAAATGATTAAACTCATTGGGATTACTTAAAATCATTTATATTTACTCTAGCTAAATTACGATACATATGTTTCTTTAGTTAAGGTTTTTGTGCTTTAGTTTCAAATCCACAGTATATTAAAAAATAACAGTATTTTCGGATTTTGATATAAAAGGAGGATAAAGTTAAAAATTCTTCACAATCAAAATATTTTATAATTCTCTTATTATAACTTAAGCTGAATTTTTATTAATTAATATTTACTCTCCAATATCTTTCTCTTTACTAAAAATATAAGTCATTTTGTATTTCTACCTTCTTATTTCAGTTTAACATCAAATATATCGATTGTTTTTACCTTGAAATTCAGAAGTTATCTTATATTTATTACCATTAGTGGTGTTTATAACAAAATTAAAACCAATTTCAACAATTGTACAAGAAAAATCGTAAAAACATGTGTTTCTTTAGAATAATTTTTTTAAAAACCACTTTATAGGTCTTCCTTTCTCTTCTAAATTTAAAATAATGTAAAAAAGCTACATTTTTATAATCGTAAACAAAAACATAATAAATTTGATTATAACAATTTCCGACAGCTTGTCAGGCAGATCTCGCGCTTTCTTATCGCCACCTGGGGAGCGTTAAAATGTTAGCCCCATTGGTAGAGAATAGTCTACTAAAGTTAACTTGCGTTTAATATGTTTATTGTTTTACATTTCTAATTATAAAACTTTCTGCAGACATGAATTTCCTTTTTATTCGCATTAAGCTTAAAACTGGAAACAATTCGTTAAAAGTTTGGAATTTGCCTAATATCGCGTGTCATAGTAATGTCGACATTTACACAACTTTTACCACCCTTTTAAAATAAGATGCGTATTTATATATTGCGTTAAAATATGCAAATATGTTATAATTATTAAACTAATGCCAGCAGATAGAAGCAAATGTAGGCCTGAGGCGTTTAAAGTTGGTATGATATATCTAGGGCGGTCATTTTACTAAATTTACCAAGACAACGTTGCGTCCGTTAGCTGCAGCACATTCACTTCAATTTATAGAGCAGTTAGCATTAGCAATGTAGATGAGGTAACATTAGAGTCAGTATTGGCACTGCAGCGTGGCGTGAAGGATACGAAGCACGATTTAAATTAAAATAACTTTTATCAGTTTCATTGGAAGCAAAACTCTTTACTTAAATATTTTTAGCAAATTGATAATATAAGAGGAGCTAAAAAATAATGATGATTAGGTACTCTGAATTCTACATTATCATAACTATAATACACGGAAAACAATTTTTCAAAATACACAAAATTCTGTTTGACGTATTGTATGTCAAATATCAAGATCTGTCAATAAAAATAAGTTATGAAAATTACGTACTTTTTCCGTACAGGCTCCAAAATACTAATAAAGAAAAATTAACAGAAGTTTGGTATGATTGAGAAGAATTCAGTTAAAAAAAGAATAATGTACATACACAGTATGTCTCCCTACGTTGGAATCATATGGAAAACTTTTTTATTTTTAATTTTAGGAAAAAAGTTATTCTTCTTAAAAAGTTCTGCATTATCTAAAACCTACAATACATTCATCAAATATCAATTTTTTTTAGTGGTATACGAGGTTTTTAAATGAGTTTTACTCAAGATAATGCAGACCTTTTTATGTAGAATAACTTTTTGTCCTAAAATTAATAATAAAGAAGTTTTCCATATGTTTTTAACCTAAGGGGACACTGTATATAAAAAAAAATAATATAATAATAAAAAAAGCTGAAGAGTAAAAATAAAAGTATAAAGATATAATGAAATCTAATAAAGTAGAAAAATATGGGCATCTGCTGAGAAGGGCGAAAAATTGTAAATTAAAAATTTTATGTATATTTATTATAAAATAATAGTTTTTCTATAACTATAATATAAAAATACACTTTTTTAACTATAACTACTTATAAAATGCGGTACATTTGCCCATTTGGTGATTCTGATATCACAAAATAATCAATTCCGTATCATATACTTATCCGATAACAAAAAGTAAGTGTTCTCTAATTATTCGTTTATTTAATTTATTTATAGTTTATTTATTTAAAACACTTTATTCATAATTTATTTATAACGTACTAATTAATTTATTTATTTCTTGGACACTATTATAACTCACAATTCTAAATTATTTATTACAAATTCTCTTTACTGTCCAACACTTAAATTCAATGTTCCCCTCTATCGACAAAATCGCGTTTATTTATATAAAAACGTAACGCTCTTGAAAAAACCAACTCTGACTAGAAGCTCAGTCTGGAAGTTCTAGAAATTATTCTACCCATTTTTTCCTTCATAATAAATAGTTCCTCCTGAAACTAAAACTGAATGATTGTATCTATATAGACCTACTTTGACAGTTCCCATTCATATGAAAATAACAAGGGACGGTTTTTGATGAAACCTGAACACTAGGTGAATGGCTGCAACCAGTATTTGGACCTCGAAATATTTGAAGATTAGTTCCACTATGTTCATTCTTTAATTCAGTTGGGTGCTCTTTATCTTGGACATGGCTAGTTTTTGTACATTGGACTCCAAAACTACTGCCTCAGACTAAGCAATGCTTCCCATATATCATGAGAAGTGAATCAATCTCGAAAGGTGTTCTTTGTTATCAAACGCGATCCATCTTGAAATTTCAATGTTTTTTCAGGGGCTGGTAACTGACCTTGAAGTTCTGGCAATCGTCCAAACTGTTTCCAAAACATAGATGCCATACATCGAGCCTTGTCTATGAGAATATAATGTATAATTCTATTATTTACTTACGAATCAATTAAATTGTTTAGTTACCCTGATTCTATATAAGTATATATTTTCTTAGCAAAGAAAAAGGAAAAATTATTACAAAGAAAAGTAAATATAGAGAGGAAAAAAGTACATTAAGACGAATCATTAATATTGTGAAAAATAATTTTATTTTCAGAAAAGTTCAAGGTTTTTAATTATTTTTAAGTTTGAATTGTCATATTGATTTTCAAATAAGATGGCAACATATTTTGAAGTCTAGGTGCTATATAGCTAAAATGTTTTTGTTCAATTGATTTAAATGCTTAAGGTAAGTAAATGATCGTTGCGTTTTTGTGTTATGTTTATGTAGTATTGCAGGAATTAAATTTTGTTTTGCCCTAACAAGAGGTCCAGTTATAAAAACACCTTCACATAATTCGTTAGGTAGAACAACACAATTTTCGTTTATATTTACTTTAAAATATTTAATTACTTCACATCTAGCGGGAATTGACATATAATTAATTTGATGTGTTGTTTGAATAGGAATCACATTTCGGCTATTTTGATATTTTTGCAAAATAATCGTAAAAGAAATTTGAACCTAAGATACCGTGCATTTGAAAGTCTGGTTCAAGGACGTCTAAACGTTGAAATTCAAGACAAAAATTTACTCTATCTATTTATAATGTTATATTCACTGTGCCAGATGATACTACTGATCCAGATATACCATTTATCATCAACTGCTTCATTATTAAATATCCTATTTTTAAAAATTACGCCTATGCTAGCACCTGTATCTAATAGAATTATTAATTTATTATTTTTAAAGAAAATTTCTACATATTACTGTTAAATCTACCCCGGTATATATGTCCTCTGTTGTTAAAACTTTATTTCTAGAATAATTTTTATTACAATTATTTTGATTATTAAACCCTATTAAGCCCTAGAAATTCTATTATTGCATCTATAATTAGTTTTAAAATGTTGACGACCTCTCATATGATATGCTTGCGCATTGCATTATTAAAATTGTTTAATTTGATTTCTTCATCTTTAGATCCTTGGATAGCTTCACTCAGTTTTGTATAATTTCGAGCTTTAATAATAGTATGCAAATTTCTATGTCGCAATTCATTTCCAAAAGTGTTGAGAGCAATTTTTTCATTTACTTCACTTAAGTCGGTTAACAATTCTTCTAACGTTTTCCTAAACTGTTTGATAATTTTTGAACCTTGCTTAGCATTATGTAGTTTATAGCTAATTATGTTGAAGATTTTTAGAAATGAAAAACTTTTTAAGATGACCAACTAGATTTTGATTATTATTATTAAAAATTTTATTTAGTCTAATTTTTGCATTTTGACTTAAACTTTTCTTTAGAATATAAGTTGTTAATAATTTCTTCTCTTCAGCATCAAGCATAGCTTTATACAACTTAATAGCATCAATTAATTGATTAGTAACAGTTTCGGAATCATTCATAACTGGTAGCAAACTAGAGGCGGTTTTAAAATCAAACGGTTTAGCCATTTTAACTTTATTTAAGCAATCTGAAAGATAAGAGTCTGATTCTAAATTGGTTTCCCGTTCAGTTTTCTTTATATTATGCAAAAACTGTAACCTTTTAACTAAATTAACTGTAATTGCCTCAATATGTTTATCAACAACATTTGCAAGTTCTTTAATAGAAGCTTTTGAGCGAAAATCTATGTCTGGTGTATTAAATAATATTTTTACCACCTAAAAACTATCTTTAAACTTATCTTAACGTATGGTCCTAAAGTTTTTTGAAAATTTTTAAATTATTTATTTTTGTACCCAATGTCGTTTAATCAAGTTGCCATTGAAACTAAAACGTCACACGTAATCAGGTTTGATTATGACAGTTTAGTTTTGGAAATCGATTGTAGCAAAATGTCTTACAAATTAGATATTCGTAAGGGCATTTACAGTCTAGTTGGACGAATACCTAAGCATGATATTGTTGCAATCTACCAAGAGCAAAATATAAGTAAGTCAACCATTTACAACACTATAAGGAATTGTGAAGAAGGTATACCATGCATTAATTTACCCAAAACCGGTAGACCAAGAATTTTAAGTGTAAGAAGAGAAAGAAGACTTATGGAAGCTGCTAAAGACAAAGTTGGAGTTTCTCAGAGAAAATTAGCCCGGTGATTTGGTATTTCGAAAACCACTGTATTAAGAACAATTGATCGCCCAAACTTGGTGTTTGGGAAAAGAAGAAAGGCACCAAAATACACCGCAGACCAGCTAGAAAGAATTCCGCGTTGTTGCCGCGCATTAAGGCGTATCCACTTTGCCAATAAATTGATTGTAATGGATGATGAAAAATATTTTACCTTATCTCATTCAGAGATTAAAGGAAACGATAGGTTTTATACCGATGACATAGAAAATACACCAGACAATGTTAAATTTAAAGGTAAATCGAAATTTGAGGATAAAGTTTTAGTGTGGTGTGCCATTTCTGAAGCAGGATTTATCTCACAGCCGTATGTTGGTCGTGTTCGGGGAGAAGCCTTAAATGCAGAACTTTATATTCAAAGATGTCTTACTAAATTACTTAATTTTTTAAATACACATCATCTTAACGATAATATAATGTTTTGGCCTAATCTAGCTTCATGTCATTATGCTAGAATTACCAGTCAGTGGTCAAGTGAAAATAACATTGATTTTGTACCTAAGTTGGATAATCCTCCTAATGTACCTCAGACTAGGCCAATAGATGAATTTTGGTCAATACTATCGAGGAAAGTGTACGATAAAGGATGGGAAGCTACAAATGAAGATCAATTGCGGCGTCGCATCTTCCAAAAGATTAGAGAAATAGAACCTGCTCTTGTCCAAAGGAAGATGGGACAAGTCCGAAGAAAATTACGACTTATTGAGGATAACGGGCCACTATCCATAATGTAATTAGTAATTATTTTTCGTTATTAGTGTTGTTAATTGTTGCCACATGTACTTTTAAAAGTAAAAAAAAATTGGAAAAATTTATTAGCATTTAAAAATTTTCCAAAAACTTTAAGACCATACGTTATTTCTTAAACTTACGATAAGTTACATTTATGTCACTTCTTCTTTCGTTACTGTCTTTTAGCTCTTTTAATAGATTATCAAATTCCGTTTGCGAACTCATTCCATTATAATAATTATTTTATTTAGTCGTACCTAAAAAGCTGAAAAAGAGAAAAAAATCTTCTGGTATTTCCTTCTCTAAACTCATTCTTGGCTAGTTCTAATTTGTTTAGCCATATTTCTTTCTAACATTTTCTTGCATTTCTTGAAAACTAGCATCAACAAAAATACGAATATCAATACCACGAACATTGCTTCTATAATATTTTTAGGTGTGAAAAATTCTGTTGTATTTGTTTGACCTCCACTATTTCCATTTTGAGCGATTATTACTTTTTCCTTTATCTCTTTAGAATTTGTTTTTCCAGCCATTTATAATTATTCTTCTTGCCATATATATTTATATTTCTTCATAATATTCTGGACTGGCAGGATCGCCGTGTTATGATACTCATCTTTTGGATATTTTCGTCACCATGTATTATCAATAGCAATATAAATCAAGAAGATTGTACGAAAGGTATTTATTGAATCCTTTATTCTTCGATCACTTATTTTAACGAACCTACACAATTGTTACGTCGTCGAAATAAGTGTCAAATCAATACATTACAAAATATAATATAAAATAATAAAATACATTCCTTAACCTAATTATACCCAAGTTCAAGGAAGTATAATAACTACAAAAATTATATAAAGTATGATAATATATATAAGTACTTATATTATTACACAACTCTGCAGTTTCTTGTGTTATCCTATCTTTTTCTAAATTTCATAAAAGAATGTTCTTTAATTAGGTCTGTCAGGTTCAAAATGTGATAGGTTGGTTGGTTGCTTTCTTGGCCAGTGAATCAGCAAGAAGGTTACCTTTCAATGTTGCGTGACATTTGATCCATCTTGACAACATTGTTGATGAATATTTCGGCCAAAATATTCTTGCACCAACCCCAAAAGCACGTCACTAAATTAATTTTGAACTAGATATCGTATCAATATGAACATTTAATTTGAATCCTACATTGTACATACTCGCTTTTAATTTATTATCCGAAAATATTTGAACCTAGGTCAAAATTTAATGCAATTGCATAGCGTCATTCTCATAGAGAAAAATGTGTACAGTTAACTTATTTATAAAGTTTTTCGAGTTAAGTTGGTCAGATATAATATCTAAAATAATTATATAATCTTGGAATCTTCGCCTAAAGACAAAATATCATGACCAACCAAGGAAAACATGTTTCGGTTTATACTTTATTTACTCCTCAAACGATAGTCTACTAGCATAAAGTTTGGATATCGAGGAGATAAAAGAAGGGGATTTCTTTATCCTTTTTACCACTTAGTGGAATATAGATTTATGCATACTTCTACATATTATTTAAAGCATTTTCTTAAATTCTTTAAGGTATTTTTTCCTGAAAATTTACCATATTTGCACTTCTGTGCATTTTTATATTAGTCTATGATTATTGAGAAACTTCAGTAAATAATATTGAAAAAGTATTTTTAAGATTTAAATTTCTTTTGTTTGCTATGCATATTTTTTCTTAAACATTTGTGGGATTTCTTTCAAAACCTAAAGATAATATACTGAAAACTCAATTTGAAAATTTATCAAAAGAAGTAGGTAATTCTTTTTATTTTTCTATGTTGTAATGTACTCGAGAGTTAAACAAGGATGTGTATACTATAACTCTAAAGCGGAGGGCACTGAACAAATGCCTCAGCAAACTTTATGCATGTCTCCTATAAAGTTGTATTGTTCACTTTTATTGGAGAACTTTACGACAAGCTATACTTTTATTAAGTTTACATGTAAGTGCAAAAAAGCACTTCTCTCATAAATTGTTAAAAAAAAAAGGAGAAAATGCACTTTTTTTATAGTGGTAGTTTTATTACAGGAGAAATATTTTGCAGGCAATCATAATAAAGTTGCAACAAAATTAACATAACTGTATGCATTGTAGAAGAAATACATTTTCTATTTGGAACTTTTATTTCAAAGTAAAAAGATTTAAAAAATTAAGTATTTAAAATTGATTAAATGAAACTACATACTATTTAGGGAAGAGGTGATCAACAAGTTTAGATCATTAAAAAATCTATTTAAATTTGTCGTATTACCTTCAGGGTAGGTAAGTTTCAACTATGCTGAACTGCGATTAAATATTCAAGAAACAAATATTATAGTTGCAACTTCCCTTAAGTCAAATTCCAAGATTATGTTATAAAGCAAAATTAGTAAACAACTGGGCAGGCTAACGCAAAGCAAACAACAAACTAAACACAGCTAGTTAAACAGAACTAGTTGAAATACACCAGAGTATTAATTGTTAGTTTATCAGCACTCGCAAAAAAGGCTCGTGTTTCTCACTGGTTAAATAATATGCTATTTCTCATTTATTTCTGTTTTTTATCTTAACAAAAATCATTTTTTTTTTGTTTCATACATTTTCGAACAAAACATTTAATTTTTTTTGTATACATCCATTTTTGTTCTAACCAAATATTTTATATTTTGCTTCTCCTAATTTAAGGATTTTTTTCATTTGTAATTATTTTATAATTTTTTTCTTATTTTAACACTCCTGGTCACGCCATTAAAAGAAAATACAAAATTTACAGGGTGAGCCTCCTTCACAAACTTATAAATAAGTTACCTAACTCATACAAAATGATGTGGATAGAATATATTTCCGACAAGACTTTTCAAAATTTTAAATTTATTGAATTTTTAGACTGGCTCGACAAAAAAGCCATGGCGGCATGCCAAATTCAACCGCCAACATTTTATTCTGACTTTTTTCACTGACAGTTTAAAATTTAAAAGAAACTCTTTCAAAAGGGACGTAACCATGATAACGATTTAAAAAATAAATGTAATAAACAGTTGTACAATTAAAGATCTTACAGTTGATCAAAGATGGGGTATGTTTTTCTTGTTTGATTCCGTATCATAGCCTGACTAACTGTCGCCGTAAAAAGACATGTGGCATTAATAATTGTAGACTCGTGTTCTTTTGAAATTTCTACCGGTATCTGTACGCTATAACCATAAAAATATCAATGTACTTTTAGACGACGCCTCTTATTGATCAAGACCTTGCTGATGTTCTAGAGCTAGATGGACCTCAACAACAACTCTGTATCCAGTGGACAAACAATCAAACCAGGGAACAAGATGACTTGATGACAGTGATCTTCACCATCAGTACCAATTAAAACATGTAAGAACAATGAGAGGACTATCATTTCCAACTCAAACTGTGGTTAATGACGAATGCCAAACTCAAAATTTTGATAGGACAGGATAAGTGGCCATTAATATTGAATGTCTTAAGTAAAACTCTTTTAGGGTAGGTAATTCACGGTAATCTAAGAAAAGAAGATAATTTTAACGTATCAAGGATATACTTGTCATATTAGCGTTAAGGAACGTGACGATTTGAATTTACTTTATAAATAAGTTAAAGATCAATGGAAAATATATAGTCTAGGTGTAAAAAATATAAATAAAAGTTTTCCTAGAGAAGATATAAGAACAAAAAATATTTTAGACAAAATGAAAAGAGTTGGTGACCACTTTGAAAGTGGATTATTATGGAAGGATAAAGACAAGGTTTTGTCAGAAAGCCGTACCAATGGAGGTTACAATGTACTGAAATAAATATAGAGAAGGACAAAATTTATGGAAAGACTTACTGTGACAAAATTGATGATTAAGAAGAAAAAATATATCTGAAAAATTACTGAAGAAGAACTGAAAAAAGAAAATCCAAAAAAATGGTGTCTCCATCATTTTGGCATTGTGAACCCGAACAAACCTAATAAATTAAGAATTGCATTTCATGCTAGTGCTAAGACTCATAATTTAAGCCTTTTAACTGGACCGGACCTTTACAATTCCCATTTTAGGATTTTACTCAATTTTAGAATTAAAAAATAATATGCTTTTACATCAGACATAAAAGAATTTTTTTTTTAAACAGGCCAGAAATTAGTACTTTCCGGTTTATTTTTAGGTCAGAAAATCTCATTTTGTCGGAATGAGCCAGAAAATTATTGTGATAATCCGGTAAAAGCTTTTACCGGACTCATTTTTATTTACTTTCCGGCCTATCTTTAATGAATAAAATAGTTAGTCTAAGATAGCGGTCAATTGGTTTCTATAGTAACCGAGTTTTGTATTATTTAAAACTATAAAATAACTTGACATATTTTGACGTTGAGTTGAAAAAGTGACATTTATTATAAAATAGATATTCAAAATGATGCATTTGATTGTGAAATAATGGAAGATGAAATAATACCAGATGAAATTGTTAAGGTGGCTACCCAAGCAAGTAAAAAAAATTGTTAAAATTAGTTAATAAAGAGTTTTTGTTATAAAAATGTAAACTGAATAATATGAAGTTTATGGTACAACAATGCCTGTTTAAAAAAAAATATTGTACGTAATACGTCCCAAAAGTGCTTTTACTGGACTCGCAGGCTTGCAGGACTCGCCTGCGGCTCGCCCTGCAATTTGCCTACTCGTCCAGTAAAAGACCACTTTCGGGACTTGTTACGTAAACTACTATTACAAGTTAAAGTGCGCCAAGAAGATTGTGCCGCTCAAGGATTCTTATTTAGAAAAGTGGACAGAGATAGAGAACCTGATACCTACGAGATGACTGTTGTATTTTTTGGTTCTTCTATTGAACCATGCCTTGCACAAGAAGCTAAGAATAGAAATGCAAAATATTTTATGTAAGACTATCCTGAAGCATTTAAAGCTACATGGACGACTATTTAGGGTCTGCAGATTCTCTTAGGAAAACAAAGAAAAT